GCCATAGAGCATTTGTCCTAGGTGTTGACAGCAGCACGATTGGCATAGAACCACTACTTCGCTCTCCTGAGGAGGGAGAACGGGAACAGCCATACCCTGACGGCGTCTGGACTGACGCCCTTTTATGGTGTACGTGCTACAGATCTCCAGGAACTGTTGCAGATGAGCATTGGCATCCTCATTAGGCTTGCCACAGAACAGGCTAGCCTACGACATCGTGATGAGGCTGAACTCCAAGTCGAAATCCACATCTCCCATGTTGATCTGCGGCCCAATGGCCACATTCTCAGCAGAGGGAGCAGCGAACTCGCGAAGAGTCTTGTTAGCCATAGTCTTGAAGGTCGGTGGCGCTGGTACGGCTGGTTTCTCTGTCGGTAGAGTTTTCTACGGAACAACGACTCGCGGCCTGACGCTACGGAAGAAAGCTTATGGATTTTCGTTGAAGTATTCCGCCCAGTTGAAACCAGTCACGCACTACCCTGTTTTCACAACAAAAGTGAAAATAACCAAGGTTAGCCTACAAAGGAAAATGATTATACAAAGGTAAATATAAAGTATTAGTTCAGGTAATCTCTATTATGAATCTTCCTCAGCAACGGCGCCAGAAATGCTTGTTGGTATTTCTTAACGATATTACTAGAAATATAATTCCCAGCAATGGCGCAGAAATACTTCTGGTATATTATGGTGACAGAGTTCATCCGCAAGCGCACGGATATACCATTGTAGCATTGCACCCGAGAGTATTCCAAGGGTATCGTATTTATTTTATCCCGTGGGAAGATCATGTAGAGATAACTTGACTAGTAATTTATATATTACTTGTGATAATCATATTCTAAGTAGGGGTTAAGATAATCCAAGGGTAGAGTAACACACAAGCATTAACTTCTTATTCTCATGATATATCATCTAAGCTAGGTGGAAAGAAAAGAGAAAGATAACCTATTCCTATACTTCTAATATACATAGTATACAGACATTCTAGTTATCTGATATACTAGCTAATACCCTCTATCCGATGTCCTCCTGATACTTCGAGAAGCCACCCCTGATTGCCAAGTTCCTTACGACAGCCCGTCATGACCATACAACTGGGGCTAAATACGGAGGAATACCCTCCCCATGAAATTAACTTAGGATCATATACAGGCGCGGAGGAATACCCGTACTGAGCTGTCACCATCAGCGGCCCACCTCTCATCCGCAGCATATAACCCCAAATAATGATATCTCGTAATCTAGACACCACATCTAAACTACCAGATACTACTTTAATATCATCGTCATGACATAGAGTAATTGCATAAGCAAACATTATACCCGCACCAAAGCATCTCCCAGATAAGCTAGCCTTATATTCAGTATAACATGAACAAAATGTAAAGTAGGCATTCATATACTCGGAAAGTATTTCAATACCATAAATGTATATAGAAGAGTATTCTAATAAAAGTACAAAGCTTACAAAAGAGGAAAGGAAAGCTACCAGAGCCATACCCGAACTCTTCCGAAGGCTTCCGGACTCCTGATTTCTACTATATTCCTATTCCACCAGCTATATACTACTAAACCAAACTTGAGAAAAATGAGAGAGCTCTTGCTTGATGTGTGTGAGTGAAGTGAGAAGAGGAGCTCATTTTATAGCTGAACTATGACGGTTGTGACGGTTGGAATGGTCGGTAATACCCTCCAACCGTCATTGGGGCTTCATCTCAACCATCCAGCCAAAACCAGGATCAAACGGCGACGAGGGAGGTTCGGCCGAACCATGGGTCGGCCCAACCAGCCCACCTTTCGGCTGGCGGCCTCCTTCGTTGCTCCTTTATGTAGACTTGTGAATTTTGGCCCAATTCATCGTGTCAATTCGGAGTTCTTGGCCCATTCATACATAAGTCTGATCCTCGACATCGTCCGACTGATTTATCATCTATGTTGATGTCGATTCTCCTCCACTTTAGTGTTATTCTCTACTAAAGGTTAGCATACCTAATACTAGTGGAATATTATTATTCTAACACATTTATGCGTTGCAAGCATCACTAGTTCTCCTCTATTTTGGTAATATTGACGGTCGAAACTGGTTGATAATGACAGTCAACAATAACCCACTCATATAAACCGATTGCACCAGGACACCTGAAAGCAGTCTTATGAATATCTTCCTCGGCCATAAAAATCTGATTGTCATCCATGAAACTTATAATCTTATGTCCTGAAGCAGCATCAACCAATTGATCGGCAACTGGCATTGGGTACTCATCCTTAGGGGTAGCCTTGTTTAAATCTCGAAAATCAATACACACCCTAAGTTTGCCATTCTTCTTAATAACTGGAACTATATTAGAAACCCACTCAGCATATCGGCATAGCCGAATAAAACCAGTATCATACAAACGAGTAATCTCAGCCTTGATAGCATCATGCATATCGGCTTTGCACCTCCTTGGTGGTTGTTGATGCGGTTTAAACCCTGGTTTGATAGAAAGCCGATATTCAACAATCGATCGGCTGAGCCCTGGCATTTCATAATATTCCCAAGCAAAGCAATCTCTATATTCTTTTAATAGCTCTATCAGCTTGGTTCAACTCTGCAGATAAATTCTTACTGATAAATGTCAGCCTCGGCCTATCTCCTGGACCAATATCAACTTCTTCCAAATCATCAGCCGACATAAAATCCCGTCCTTGCTTGTCATCAAGATCATCTACCGTGTCCTTGGTGTAGACATTTGAACCCTCCACGACGCCCTCAAAGTAATAATTCGGGCTCTCCATCTTCAATTGGTTGTATATCACAATCGGACACTTTTAGAAAAATTCCATCCCAAATCTTTCCAGACAAACAATCAATACCATCCATATCCCAAAGAGCTAAATTGGCACTGGTAACATTAACTGACCTATCGGCTGGCACGATCTCAATCTTGTCACCTTGCCATTGAATCAAGCACTGATGCATGGTCGAAGGAACACAACAATTCGCATGAATCCAATCCCTTCCAAGCAACAGGCTGTAGGACCCCTTCCCATCGATGACAAAAAACATGGTAGGAACAGTTTTGCTACCGATTGTCAACTCTACATTCAAAACTCCCTTGGTTTCAGATGGATTGCCACCAAAATCTTTGAGAATCATGTTTGTCTTGATGAGATCATCTGATTTCCTACCCAACTTCCTGAAAGTAGTATATGGCATCAAGTTTACAGCAGCCCCACCATCGACTCACATCTTGGACATCGGCTTGCCATTAACATATCCATTAAGATACAATGGTTTTATGTGCCGATTTTATGTCCCTTCTGGTTTCTCAAAAACTGCTTGATCTGGTGACAAAATCAACCTAGCAGAGGCCTCTTCAACATCATCAACATCGGCTTCTTTGGCTTCAAACTCTGCAGGTAGCATAAAAATCATATTTACCGATGTAGATGTAACGGCTTTTCCTTTAAGCAGCCTCTTGGCCTTATCGGCTTCAGCTTCATCGGCTGTCGTAACTGTGCTCTTAACACGCCACTCTTGTCTAGGCTTTGCCTTATATTATTTTTGAAAAGGTCAATTAGGCCTAGAGGGGGGTGAATAGGCTAATTTAAAAACTTAAGTAAAGCGAAAGCAGTAATTTTCGGAACTAGGCTGGGAATTTTTGAAACTTCCGAAAGGATTTTCGGAACTTCCGTTAATGCACAGAGCAGCGCACACAAAAAGAAGTATCTAGATCTAGAAGTCTACCACATGTAAACAAAGGCACATACAGCAACTAGACCAATAGCGGCACAAGCAAGCAAAGTTAGAGGAGAGGGATAAAGAGATATCACCAAGGTGAAGCTTGCAAACTTGTTCCCGGAGTTCAAATCCTTGAGGGGATTCTACTCTCCGTTGAGGAGCTCACTAAGAGCCGGGTCTTAGCTAACCCTTTCGTCAAGAGGTTGCACTAAGCACTCCTTTCACTAAGAGGTATCTCTTCCCTTGCGGAGGCGAGATCCGGCCTTCACAAACTTCTCCCGGCCAACCACAAGTAGATCGGTGGCTCGGGAGTGACACTTAGCCGTCTAGGAGTCCTCAACCTCCAAGAGTAAAAGATGATGCAAAGAACTCCCGGAGATGATGCAAGTGCTCACAAATCTTCACAAAGACCACAAGGAGCATCCACACAAACTCGAATCCACACTCTCACACACACACCAAATCCGAATCAAACACAGGTGGAGAGATGAATCGAGGAAGCAAGGCTCAAATGAACTAGAGAGAGAGAGCAAGCCAAGGGCACAAATAATTGGAATGGAACCAGCAGCCCTCACAAGTGAGGCGAGGTGGGTATTTATACCCACAGCACAAATCTGCCCGTTGGAGTGCAATAAATGCAATTTTCGGAACTTCCGAAACAATTTTCGGAACTTCCGAAAATTCCAGATCTGAGAAATAATCGAAGTCAACGCATTTTTCGGAACTTCCGAAAAACATTTTCGGAACTTCCAAAAATTTCCAGAACGCTTCTGTGTATTTTCGGAACTTCCGAAAATTTCCAGAACGCTCCAAAAGAGAAATGCTTGAAAGGAAAAATGATTTTGAGCACACGCATCACTCCTTACATGTCTATGCATCATCCCCCATAATAGTATGGCTTTTCTACGACACAATGCGAGGAAAAAGATACAATATACCATTTGATCATTGCCGCGTTACATCGCGATGTCGCATTCACGGGATATGCATTGTATTGCAACACATTGAGGACATAACAACCTTCACATTTGCTTGAATGAAAATGTTAGTCCTCTCTAATCGCATTGTAATCAATCATGAAAATCATTAGGGGCCTAGATGCACTTTCAATTTTCATGTTAGAAAATTTTGAACTCAAATTTGAACCATGGTGTTTGAAATTGCAAATTCGAATACGGTTGAATTCCATGTGCTAGAATTATTTATGTTTGAATTATTATGGTGTTAAACTGTATTTAAACATAAATTATATAATAAAATAAAAGAGAAAAAGAAATAGGAGCTAAGATATGAGGGCTACTGCTAGAGTTGATGACATATTTAGTGTCCTAAAGAATTGGGGGCAGCCCCCATTTGACTTTTAGAGGCTCTATTGTAGGGGCTACTACTCGAGATGCTCTAAGAAATCTTATTGTTGGTGCATGTATAAATCCGTGAAGCATTAAATGTTTGTAGTAAGCATAATTGTTGGATCCAATACTTGTTGGCACTACGATCTGATGCACAAAAGGAGTCATGTATCACGACTCCACTACCACAGATTTTGTGCTAGCCCCCTATACAAAGCTGCTGTTCATAATTACAAAGTATTTATCAGCGTATAGCATGTGTACATTTAACCATTGGATAAATGAAATGAAGCTCTGGTGCATGCACACCTGGCGAGATACATCGAATGGACTCCAGCCAATCGACAAAACACAGTAATGTTCAATCCCGTAGGAAAACTAGAGCAGGAGAATTCCATATGAAAATTCATTATTGTTTCATATCAAGACAGATATAGTGGAATTATATCTTTTATGAAAATCAAATACAGAACTTATCAGGAAAGGAATTGGAATCATAATAATTGGGTGAAAATAGAGTTAACGTTGTGTTAGAAAAGTAGATAGTTTGACACCTTTGTAACCAACAACAGAACCAGGGGCATCTGCCATTGAATTCTCCATCCCGAAGAATGGTAACCCCCTTGAACAGTGTATATTGCCCCCGTCTTTTCGTCCTTAATTTTAACGCTAGAGGAACCTAGAAACGAAGAAACAAGCCAATTGCACATAAATTAAATTAGTTTAGATACTATTTCCTCCAACCCATAATATAACATGTGCGTGCAATTTAAGATTCAATTTTTAAAACATTTAACTAACAATCAATATAACATGAATTAAATTTTATTTGTTGAAAATAATATCATTCAATTGACATTTGAATTTAGGTTATATTTTTATTGGTATAAACCTTATACAATATGAGAAATTATAAGCTACTCCCTCCATTCCAAAATATAAGGCACAATCACCCTTAATTTAAAGACCAAGAAATAATTATTATCATCTTGTAGTTTGGATCATCCTAATAAATACTAATGCATGCATCCAATAGGATTAGATAACATGAGAGTGGATGATTTAAAAAAGTAATAATTTAATGGAGAAGATGTCATAATTAATTGCATGCTTGCATGTATACCTTATATTATAGAATATCTAAGAAAAGTGGTTGTGCCTTATATTATAGAATGGAGGGAGTAAAAATTAATTATGGAGACCGTGCCGAGTTTGATCATGTCTTATATTATATAAGCTAAAATATAGATAAGTGACACACTAGTAAATATTAGGAAAGAAATACGAGCCTATGTAAATGACGGTAAATGTATTATCCCCCTCCCGCTCAACTTTCCAGCCGTGCATGCCTTCACTCTTTTGTATGGCCACTAATCCTTATCTCCTAGGATTGGAGTGCGAACAGCGGAGAGTAGTTGACGGACAGCGGCGGCAGCGGTTCCAGTGACTACAGCTTTGGTGGTGGCATTGGTGATTGCGATGGCAGCAGCTAGTTACATGTGCTAATGCTGATGAGATAATCACATTTTGTGAAAGGGCATGTCATGTTTTGTGTGAAGAACAAGTGATTTAATTATGAGCAAATCACGGCAGATTAAATCAATTTCTTAGGAGATAAGGAACAATCTATAGGAAAACTATAAAATCTTAAGTTTCCCAAAACCTAGGAAATTAAAACAAAATATAAGATGTGAATGGTTGCGTTTGAGGGTCTCTAGTTGGGCTTGGCAGCTAGAGATAAAATCAAATCGAAGAAAAATGGGCACTGATTTTACCTTGCATTAGAATTGGACTAGTTAGGAACTTCCGATGTTCAAATTGGAATTTCACATTGAGCTCTTGATGATCCCAAAAGTCAGAAGTTTCGACAAGTTCCATTCAGAACTTCCGGTTTTTCTTCATATTATTAATTAAATGTTGTATTTCTGCACTATTTTCTTCTTCCAACCCAACAAGAAATTAGAACTAGGTGGAAGTGCACCTGCAATTTTTTTTATCAGAGACAAATTCTGATTTTGCCCTGCTATTTCTTCAAATTACTAACCAGGCCAACTGCTATACCTGTGTCATCACCACTGAGCTCCAGTTCGCACCAATATGCCCAAGAGATTTCTCATCTGAATATGATTATTGGAGCGCTGTTGGTCGTGCCTAAAAATTGGGAGAGGGTTTTGGTACTTGTTAGAGAGCTTTGTCTTTGACTTATGTTATAGAGTAAATCTCACTTAACCATGAATATTATTATGATCTAAGTTGTACAAAATCACACGATTTTTGTCATGTAACACGTAACTTTAGATACTCTGGCCATAAAGTTTCAGAAAACCATGGTATTGATCATTTTGACTTTGATCAACCACACTTTTGAGTTCTACAATCACATCTTAATTAACTTTATGAGTGTTTTATCCATTATAAATTTTATATGCATGTATGTAAAGCTTTTTTAAATATGAATATAGGAGTATATAAAAATGGTTAACGGTGCGGTTTTCTAAAATTTTAGAACTATAATTTTTGAAGTTATATGTCATGTATTAAGATTCTTATGGTTTTGTGTAACTTGGACCATATATAATAGATGGGGTTTTACGAAATTTAACTTTAGGAACATGTTTATAGGACTCTTGGAGATGCTCTTATTAGGAATCTTAGTAGCTTTTCTAATAGGTAGGAATCTTAGTAGCTTTTCTAACAGGACTTAAAGAGTAAATATCGGAACAACGGAGGCAGTGTTGCTAAGTAAAAGTGTCAAGCTAATAATGTCTTCCCTTGCCTTTGGTCGTGAATTGTGCTCAATTCACTCCCCTATCAGTCCGCGGTTTCGTTTTGCATGACGAACCGTATCCGTTTTAGTTCGTGGGACCGTTTCTGTTCTTTTCCTAAAATGGCACCGCATTGAATTTCCTTTTCAGGAAAGTCCTAGTCTCCCCTTGTTTCCTTTTCCCCTCCCCCTCCCCCCCTCAGCCGTGCACCTCCCCCTCCTCCCGTGCACGCGCTACCCTCCCCATTTGCCGAGTCCGATTCCCTCCCCTCCTCCCAATCCTACTCCCCCTAGGACTCCACCTCTTCTAATCTAGTCCTCCCCTATATAAGTGATCCCTCCCTTGTTTTTTTTTCCTTTTCCAACTCAATAGCCTAGCCAGAGGTGGGTGTGCTGGTTAGGGGTAGTTATATGGAGGGTTTTGTGATGTGAACATCACTCCTTCGGATACATAGAACAATCCTCCAAAACCATCTCTTTCCGGGTGCCTGCCCCACCAGTGAGCAAGCGACTAGCTGCGTCCGGAGTTTCTACAGCGCCAAAACCACCTCCCCCACGACCAGCAGAGTCAGGTAAAAGTTCTTTGCAGGTACTTGCCAAGACTGCCTCATCCATCGCCTCGATGGGACGCATTCAGTGCCACCGTTGCTAGGGGTTTGAGCATGTGCAGAAAGATTGCCCTAGTCAACGGGCATAGGTTGCTATAGAAGATGGCTACGTCACCACCTCCGACCTTGAAGATGATGGGGAAGAGGAGGAAGAAGAAGTTGAGGATGAGGGTAGTGATGTCTTTGGTCATGATGACACAACGGCCTACACGACCATCATTGTATAGCAGGTGCTCAGCACGCAGGTACAGCAACCTGAGAGGTTGCAACGCCATAATTTGTTTCAGATTTTCTTCGTCATCAACAAACGTCGTGCACGTGTGATCATTGATGGAGATAGCTGCAACAATTTGGTGAGTGATGATTTGGTCGAGAAGCTTGGTTTGACCACACGCACACATCCACATCCTTACCATATTTAGTAGTTAAACGATTCCGGAAGAGCAAAGGTAACACAGGTTTGTAGGGTTTCGTTTTCCATTGAGACATATGCAGATTCTATTGATTGTGATGTGGTTCCTATGCAAGCTTGTTGACTTTTGTTGGGTCATCCTTGGGAACATGATAATGATGCTACACACCATGGTAGGAGTAATAAATACACTTTTGTGCATAATGGAAAGAAAATTACTTTGCTACCTTTGACCCCTGCTGAAATTGCAAAGAGGGATGTACTTGGAACAAATTTATGATCAATGGTGGATTTGTATATAGAGCTAACCGTCTATGCATTCCAGTTGGTTCCGTTCGCCTTTTCTTGGTATAGGAAGCGCATGGAGGAGGGTTGACGGGACATTTTGGAGCTAAGAAGACGGAAGATGTTTTGGCCTTGTATTTCTTTTGGCCAAAGATGAGGAGAGATGTTGAGAGGTTCGTGGCACGTTGCACCACTTGTCAGAAAGCTAAGTCTCGATTTAATCCACATGGTTTGTATATACCTCTTCCTATACATTCTATTCCTTGGGCAGATATTTCTATGAACTTTGTTTTGGGATTGCCTAGGACTAAGAGGGGTAGGGATAGCATTTTTGTTGTGGTGGATCGTTTTTCTAAGATGGCACATTTCATACCATGTCATAAAAGTGATGATGCTATTCATATTGCTGATCTGTTTTTTCATGAGATTGTTCGCTTGCATTGTATGACTTCTATTATTGTTTCAGATCGCGATGCAAAATTCTTAAGTCATTTTTGGCACACACACACTATGGAACAAGTTGGGTACAAAGCTATTGTTTTCTACAATAAGTCACCTACAAACAGATGGACAAACGTAGGTAGTCAACCATACTTTGGGTACCCTGTTAAGGGCTATTTTGAAGAAACATTTGAAGATGTGAGAAGAATGTTTGCCTCATGTGGAGTTTTCATACAATCGGGCAAGACATTCTACTACCAAGGTAAGTCCTTTTCAGGTAGTATATGGTTTCAACCCTCGTGCTCCTATTGATATCTTGCCTTTACCTACTAGTGAGAAGGTTCACAATGATGCTAAGGCACGTGTTGCATTTATTTTGAAAATGCATGAGACAACTAAGCACAATATTGAAAAGATGACTGAAAAGTATAGAATTGATAATAGTAAAGGTAGGCAAGAAATGAAGCTTGAACCAGGTGATTTAGTTTGGTTGCACTTGAGAAAGGATAGATTTCCAGAATTGAGAAAGTCTAAGTTGATGCCTCGCGTGGATGGTCCTTTCAAAATTGTTGAGAAGATTAATGATAATGCATATAAACGTGAGTTGCCTCCCGAGTTTAGGGTTAGTCCCACGTTTAACATTTCAGATTTGAAGCCATACTTGGGGAGAAGAACATGAGCTTGAGTGGAGGATGACTCCAATTCAGGAGGGGGAAGATGATGCGGACATCACTCCTTCAACAATCCTTCAATGGTCATTCAAGGACCGATAACAAGAGCTCGCGCGCGACGATTGAATTTAGAGATGAGCTCGTACCTATGTTCTTCTTGGTACAAATTTGAGAATAGATTGCTATCTAATCATTATATTGTGATTAGGAACAATGGAGGGGACAAGGAGACACTTAGAGAAGGACTTAGAATCATCGAGGATCATCAAGGTGGAGGCCCAAACCAAGTCAACCTCTAGTGCAACTCGGAGTCCAGGACCAGTCTGCACTAAAACGGGCGACCAGGTCGCATACGCGCTTGGATTGGGGCGTTCTTTACATGTATGGAAAAGGTAAGAAGATAACCTTTCCAATGGATTTGGTCCCATGTCCAAATTCTTTCCGAGTCAATAGGAATCGATCGAACAAGTTGGCATCCAGAATCTGTTCCGATGCTGC